TGAGGCTGGCTCTAATCTCCTGATAAGAAGGGGAGAAGAGACACAGAGGCGCACGGGAAGAGCACCGAATGACGATGGAGGCAGAGATTGGAGGGCTGAAGCAGGAAGGCCAGGTTGCCGGCAATGCTATGGCGCTAGGAGAGGTGCGGAGTGCACTCCCTGCAGAGACCTCGGCCCCCTGGACCAGGATTCCCACGTCCAGCAGCAGAACGGGGAGAGGTTTGTGTCCCGCTTCAGCAGCCCCGGGAAATGAGTGCAGAACTCTCTCACGACGTGTTTAAAATGCACGCAAACCCAACGCTGTGTGCCCCTGGCAGGATCCGTAAGTCCTGAAGCTGACCCGTGGGGGTCCCTGGTTGACACCCCCACACCCCGTCCCACAGCACCTGGACTGTTCCTTGAGGTGGTAAGTGACATGAAAGGATGGTCCAGTGGTTAGCAGATGGGGCTCCCCTCCTGGCCCCTCTGCCTCGAGGGAATAAACACCCTGATACCGGTTTCCCACCTGCGGCAGGTGTGGTCCGGAGGGAGGGGAAGGAGAAGCTTCATTTGGGAGCAGGCTCCCAGGTCTGCCATCCGGCCCTCACTACCTGAAGTAGCTGAATGGATCCAGGGACCGTATGACCTTTATGACCTAAAAGGAAGCAGAGGGCCACGGATCTGCCCCGTCCAGCCAGGGGAGGGCAGTCCTGCAGGGAGGTTTAAGCTCCGGTCTCAGCCTGACCCGGACACTGGAATCGGCTGGGGAGGGGAGGATGCTCCGAGGGAGTGTCGGGGGGAGGGGCAGCAGGACTCTTGGACGCTCCCAGGGGGGGGGGGGGGGGGGGGCAGGGGCCGCAGCAGGTGGCACTCCAGGGTCAAGGTAGGTCACTGGGGTCAGTGCAAGATGAGACCAGACTGGGCCTCGGGTGGTGCTTGCTCTGCAGGTCATAAACAGGAAAATGGGAGCGCCGTCCCCGTGCCGGCCAGTGCACAGTAGGCGCCTTTCGTGTTCACCCCCTTCCTGCAGCGTGGAGGTCGCATTCCTTGCGGACGGTGGACTCCCTCAGAGCAAGCATTCCCAGAGTCCCCATCACCCCTCTCACGGCCTCTCTCCGGGAAGCCACCAAGGCCAGCGAGGATCTGGGGAGAAGGGATGAGATCCCCCCTGATGCAGGGGCAGCATGCACTTCCAAGAAGGAGGGAAGGGGTGAAGGGGGCCGTCTGTGGGGAGGGGCTACCCACCAATGACACAGGGATCTGGGGCTCAGTCCTCGGAGTCTGTGGTTCTCCAGCCCCTGGGGTCTGGCTAGCCTGCCCCCTGACCACCGCTGGCACAGAGAAACAGGCACTCCTGTTCACTGCCCAACCCCCTGGAGTCTCCAGGGCCCCGGGGGCTGTTTGGGGGGGGAGGGGTTGCTGGGTGTGTCCAGCCTGGAGGAGGTGGCTGAGCACCGCCAGGGCTCAGAGTGAGTGCGGTCCGAGAGCCAGGTCTTCGCAGCTCCAGGGCCACAGCCGCCTCTAAGCAGAGCACAGCTGGGCCTCCACGCCCAGCGCCCGCAGCACGGAGGACGCGCGGCCTAAGAGGATTTGCTGGATAACGGTGTGCACCCTGCCCATCCAAGGGGGTGTCTCTGCAATGCCTGGCTTTTGAGGAGGAAATCTTTCTGAAATAGCTTATATCCCCTGGGTTTAAAAAGCCCCACATAATTGTTACTAATTTCAGAGAGGAAGGGAGAGGGAGAGAGAGACAGAAACATCAGTGATTTGAGAATCATTCATCGGCTGCCTCCTGCACGCCCCACACTGGGGATTGAGCCCAAAACCCGGGCCTGTGCCCTGACCAGGAATCGAACCGTGACCTCCTAGTTCATAGGTCGATGCTCAATCATTGCACCATGGCAGCTGGGCCTCTGGGCCTTTTAGAGCCACAGACAGGAATCACACTTCACCACATTCTGAAGGGGAGGAGGCTTGCGTTGTGGTTCACTCGGGTTTGGATTCTTGGGCTCAGTCAGTCCATCAAACTGACTCCCCCCAGTCCTTCTGCTTGGTTTGTTATGGCAGCGGGCGCCAGCCTTTCAGACCTCATGACCACCAGGTGTCCGCGGACCACGGGTTGGCGACCACGGCTCTATGGGGCTGAGGCTTTCCCCAACTGCTGCTCAGCCTCCACCAGTCCCTGCTCCCCGACCTGCAGTGGCTCCCCCTGCCCATTGATTCAAGTGAACATCTCCTCCCACCTGCTAGCACCTCAGTGACCCGCCCCGGCCTCTCCTCCAGCTCCCTGCACCCCTCCCTGAGTACATGGGGGCGGGGGGAAGGGGTCTCCTGCCTGCCTCTGCCTAGAACGCCCTCCTTCCCGGGCCCACCGGGAACCTTACCTGCTCTCCTCCACCAGAGCTGCACCCGCACAGCCCGGCGATGCAGGGCTGTGGGAGGAGAGCCTCTGGCACCTCAATGCACCGCCTTTTCCCAAGAACAGCTGCTCATGCTCCTGCATCTTGTCTGGCCCCCATCCACGCACCTAGCAGACACCTGTGGGGGACCCACTACGTGCCAGCCAACTTGGTCACCCGTGCTGGGGATGGCCCGGTTCATCATTTCTCCAATACCCGGGAGTACCCAAAATGCAGCTCTGCCCCAGCACCCCCAACCCAGGGCCTGACACAGAGGTTGGCCCAAGGCAGGGATCTGCTGAGCACGTGGCTGGGGGTGCTACCACCTGTCCGCCCCACGGCTCGATGCTGATGTGCGGGGACAAGGCCTCGGCCTCCCACACCTGGAGGCCACTGCACGCCCACAGCACGCTGGCCACGCGCTGTCAACGCCACAGAGAAAGGAGTGAGGGTTCCTGCCCCGGGGGACAGGGCAGCACCCGAACGCCAGCCCGTGGACCACCGGAGAGATGAGCCATCCTTAACTATGTCCGCCCGGCAGCTCGCACCGTGTCCCAGGGTGAAGCAACGAGGTGGAATTCTGGGAGAGCATTAGCTTAGCTCCCCGGACCCAGGTTTGAAACCCAGCTCTTCCCGTCCTCGAGGAAAATGATTGGATCGTGTTGGCCTTTGACTTCCTGACCTGTCAAATGGGGGCGGCAGCACCTGGGTTTCAGACTCAGGATTCCCTGTAAGGTGCTCCATAAACCCAGGGTGTCGCCCCCATGGCCCACTGCCCCTTGCCCCATGCCCAGGGCTGAGCGTGGAAAAAATAAATGCGCCACTGGAACCCTGAGTGCAAACCAACAGGAACCCAATCTCTGTGCAGGCTCAGCCTCTAGGCGCTCCAAAGCCCTCTGTTTATTTTGTCTTGTTACCATAGCAACTCATGATGCTCCAGCCAGCCGAGATCAACTTATTTTTTTAACCACAGAAGTGCCAGCTGTTCGGGGGGACCCAGAGGGGAGCCACTGGCCCCTCTATAAATAAGTCCACGGAGACTGCCTGCCACCCGGTAGGTGAAGTCACCGCTGTGTGAGAGATGTCCAGGCGGCAATATTTTACACGTGGGTTTAGAAATAGGAGACCGAGGGCTCAGCGGGAAAGGCCAGCGGCGCTCTGGAGCAGCCAGCATCATGGCAAACTCGAGCAGAGCTGTGGGAACTGGCTCTGGGTTCTCTGGAGCCAATCTGGGCTTCTGCCTCCTTTCATGCCTGCCCCTGGGGACACTCTCCCGTCAGCCTGGATTTTACTGTTACTTTAAAAATATATAATCCTTTATGGATTCCAGAGGGGAAGGGAGAGGGAGAGAGAGCTAGAAATGTCAGTGATGAGAGAGAATCATGGATCACCTGCCTCCTGCATGCGCCCCACTGGGGATCGAGCCCACAACCCAGGCATGTACCCTGATCGGGAATCAAACCATGACCTCCCAGTTCATAGGTCGACGCTCAACCACCAAGCTGAGCCACGCCGGCCGGGCTTTACTGATACTTTTTAAACAGGCCTCCACCACCGAGAAGTTTGCGGGGAAAGAAAAGTGTCCCCTCAAACTCCACCCCTGCAAAATGAAACAGCGGCAAGTGGGCCCGGCTACAGGCCCAGGGCACAGGGGGAGCCTCGTGGCCGTCCCACCTCTGAGCCCCCAGACTACCCAACCTTACAGCCGGTGCAGGGTCTGAACTGGTACATCGGGACCTATTTTCCCAGCCAGCCCAGCGAGGCCCTTCCCTGGAGCCAGACTGGCCCTGGGCTCAGAAAGGTCACTCAGCTAGAGGAGCATATGTGTGTGTGTGTGTGTGTGTGTGTGTGTGTGTGTGTGTGTGTGTGTTCTGTGCTGGGAGCCTTGAAGGCACAAAGGATCCCTGACCGCAAGGCTCCAGGGTTCTCTGGGAGCAGAGACGGAGGATGGGAAGTCACCTGCGCCCCAACCTGCTCTGCACGGGAAGAGTTATGGTCCCGCGTTCTGATGGCTACAGACTGGGCACAAAGCAAACAGGAAAAATCCATCGCTGTGCGTGGCGCCTGGCGGGTCACAAAGCGGTTTCCGGCTCCGCTCTGGTCCCCGCTTCAAGAGGAGAAAGGGGAGGGGGAGGTGGCAACTGACAGATTGCCTGGCGCCTCCGGAAGACACAGAATGGGAAGAGCGAGGCTGCTCGCCACCCAGACGCACACATCGGGGCTGCTGGGCCTTGAAGGGCTCCAGGGTCCCCCTCCCCGCCCGCCCCAGAGGAACAGCAGGTGGTGGTGGCGGCGAGGGCGGGGGGGGGGGTGATGAGGGCGCGGGGCGGGGCAGGGGGGGTGGACAGGGCGGGGGTGACCCGCACCGCCAGGCCCTTCGCAGCCTGGGAACAGGGGACCCGTGAGGTCTGGGCACAGGGCCCGCCCACCCCGGGCACCCGATCCAGCCCGCCCTCCGGGGCGCGCGCACCAGGTGGGGGTGCCGGGCGCTGGACAAAGGACGGGACGTGGATCCCCCACCCAGTGCCCGCCCGGCCCTCCGGCGGCTCAGCACAGGGGGTCGGTGGGGACCGCGGCGGAGCCCGCCCAAACCGGCGGCCCGGGCGCGGAGCGGGGGGGTACCTGCGCGGCCATGAAGGAGAGGTCCATGGTGCCCGAGTCTTCGCCGCCGCTGCGGGCCGGCGGGTGCACAGTGCGGGGGGCGGCGGCGGGCGGCGGGCGACCCCTCGGCGGTCCCGGCGCGGCGACGTCCCAGCCCGATCGCGTCCCGGTGGCTCGGCGCTCGGGCTCCAGGCAGCAACTGTGCGGAGGGCGCGGGGATCCGATGGAATCGGGATGGGGCGGGGCGGGGCGGGGCGGGTGGACCGGGTGCTCCCGCACGTGACCACGTCCAGACCCACCCCGAGGGCGGGGCGGCGGAACCCCTGGGCGTTCACAGTCCTTTCTCTGTGGGCCCCGTGGAGAAACTGAGGCCTGAGGTTACCGAGCTGGTGGGTGCTGGAACCCCAGTCCAAGGCTTTTATTCACCCCTCACCCTCCACCCCCTGCTGAGCCCCGCCTGTCAGGGGGGCGAGCAGGGCTTTCCTGGGCCTGGCATGCCTGTTCCCAGCTGGAGGGCCAGGGTCCCGGTGACCCAACGAGGTCTGCCAGCTGTGCCCCCGGGTCGGCGCGCTGGGCCTGGAGCTGGGCAGAGGGAGTTTGAACATGGCCTCTCTTTGGCGCGCTCTGCCAAGGTAGCGTCTTTCTGGGCCCCGGCTTCCAGTCTGCAGATCGAAGACAACAGAACCCGAGAATTAAGGACAAAATGTACTGACACAGTGTCCTCAGGGATGTGAGCTCTGCCTGGGCAGCGTGGCTCAGGGGCTGAGCTTCCACCTGTGAGCCAGGAGATCACTGTTGGCTTCCCACTCAGGGCGCTTGCCTTGGTGTGGGCCCCATCCCCAGTAGGGGGGATGCAGTAGGTAGCAGATCCATGGTTCTCTTCTTCATTTACATTGTTATCTCTCCCTCTCCTTTCCTCTCTGAAATCAATTTAAAAAATTATTTTTTTAAAAAAAGTTGCCAACAGCCGAAACCGGTTTGGCTCAGTGGATAGAGCATCAGCCTGCGGACTTTAAGGTCCCGGGTTCGATTCTGGTCAAGGGCATGTACCTGGGTTGCAGGCACATCCCCAGTAGGGGGTGTGCAAGAGGCAGATGATTGATGATTCTCTCTCATTGATGTTTCTAACTCTCTATCCCTCTCTCTTCCTCTGTAAAAAAAATAAAAATTAAAAAAAAAGTTGCCAACAAAAGCTTGAATGGAAGTACTTTTGCTGGTAAATCACTTTATTGAAATATACTTTTCATGCATGTACCCATTTTACAGATACAGGTTAAAGAGTACAGTACACATCTGAGGAGAGCGGCTGCAGTGTCTGGGCAGGTTCAAGCCTGGGACTAATGAGGGGGCACCATTCTCTCGTGGCAAAGCCACGTGCAAGTCCCAGCACAATTATAGCCAAAGGCTGTGGTTGTAAGCTTGACGTATGGTCCAAACCTGTGGGCCCACATGGCTGAGTGATATAGGCTTCAGCAGGTGGTGCAGCAGGGAAACAAAGCTTGGTCATGTGCATGTAATTGAGTAGATTCGAAACTGAGAGAACATTGTGACCATGCCCTTACTTTGCCTCGTGGAATCTGGGTATAAAATGAAGACTCAGTTTGCAGGTTGTGGCGCTCTCTCTTCATCAGAGAGGGCAACATCCCACCCAGACCCAGCTTTATTCTCGTCTGTCTTTTCTTCATCCTTCACGGCTCCCTCTCAGGCTCACTGAACCTGGCTGTGCTGGTGCAGCACACCTCCCCCCCCCCCCATGTAATCAGTACTATAATCAAGTGAGGGAACATCCCACTCACCCCCACTAGCTCCCTCTGTCCCTCTGCAGCCCCCCCATGTGCCCCAGCCCCAGGTTTCTGTTCTCCAGGTGATGCAAACACTGATCGGGCAGGTGCCTTTCACTACAGATTAGCTGTGTCTTTCCGGGATCATTCTGTAGACGGAATCATGGGGAACACGCTCCTTCCTGTCTGGTTTCTTCTGCTCAGCAGGATGGTGTTGGGACTCCCCGTGTTGCCGCATATATCTCGGTAGCTCCCTATTACGCCCAAATAGCAGGGGGATGTCCGGATGGTCCACAGGATTACCCGTTCTCCTGCCATGGACATTTGGATTGTGTCCAAGCTTGTGGCTGTTATGAATACAGCGCCAGTCAACATCTACGTGCACGTCTTTGTAGAGGCGGTTGTGCTCATTGTCTTGGGTAGTAACGTAGGCGTGGAGTCGCTGGGTTTTCCATTGATAAGGAATTGCCTCACTGTTTACCTAGCGTATGGACTCTTTTCATTCTCCCCGACAGTGGATGAGAACTCCATTCCTCCTTCTTCTCACCAGCACTGGGTGTGCTCATTGTTTTCAACTCGGCTATTCTAGTGGGTGTCATGGTGCTGAGTTACAGCCCACACCTGCATTTCTCTGATGGGGGCAGTGGAGGCGGGGTTTTGGAGGGGTGGAGGGTGGGGGTGGGGGGTAGAGAGGTGGGGAGGTGGAGCGTGTCTCCCACATGCTCATTATCCACCATTGGTATGCTTTCTGCTGTGAGAGCCTGTTCCAAGCTTTCACCCATTTTTAAAAATTGGATTATGCCCTAACCGGTTTGGCTCAGTGGATAGAGCTTCGGCCTGCAGACTCAAGGGTCCCAGGTTCAATTCCAGCCAAAGGCATGTACCTTGGTTGTGGGCACAACAGTGGGGAGTGTGCAGGAGGCAGCTGATCGATGTTTCTTTCTCATCGATGTTTCTAACTCTATCCCTCTGCCTTCCTCTCTGTAAAAAATCAATAAGATATCTTTAAAAAATAAATAAAAATTGGATCACTTGTCACTTAATTATTGAGATGTAAGCGTTTTTCCTGTGCTTTGGAGACAAAGCCTCTGTCAGGTGTCCGATCTGCAAATGTTTTCTCTCCGTCCGTGGCTTTTTCCATGGTCTCAATGGTGTTTGTCACAGAAAAGTTCTTACGTTTGATAAAACCCAATGGCTCTTTTCCCTGTTCTTTTATGAGTGAGTTTTGTGATCTAAGAAACCGCTGCCTACCTCAGTGTCAGGGAGCTCTTCTTCCTCCCCATCTCCCCGGAAGTGTTATGGCCACAGCGTTTATGTTCACGTCTATGACCTGTTTCTGGTTTTATATATGATGTGAACTAAAGCTTGAGGTTCTTTTTTTTTTTTTTTTTAATATTTTTTTTTAATTTTTTTTATTGATTTTGTACAGAGAGGAAGGGAAAGAGATAGAGAGTCAGAAACATCGATGAGAGAGAGTCATCGATCAGCTGCCTCCTGCACACCCCCTACTGGGGATATGCCCGCAACTGAGGTACATGCCCTTGACCGGAATCGAACCCGGGACCCTTCAGTCTCCAAGCCGATGCTCTATCCATTGAGCCAAACCAGTCTCGGCTTGAGGTTCTTTTTTTGTTGTTGTTCTTTCCCAAAAGGATGTCCAACTGTGCCAGCACCATTTACTGTAATGACTTCTCCTCTCTCCATGGAATTAGCCAGGATTAAGACTAAATTTAAGGAGGCACAGCATTTAAGGAGGCACACATTCTCCGGTGCCAATCCTGCACTTGTGCAACCCTGAGCGTGCCTGTTTCCTTAAAATCGGATGCCTGGGCACCTTGCTGGCCCTGCCCACTGATGGGTATGCACCTAGCAGCTCTGTACATTGGAAACATCACTCTCTTCTCTGTAAGGCGCCTGGGTGGCCTCATCCCAGTGGGTCATGATCCAGGGAGGGCCGGGCAAGGGGTGCCTCTTTGCACAGTGCCCGTGGAGGACACGGTTCCAGGGGCAGATGCCAGGCTGCTGGGAGGCCACGTTCTGGATACATAATTCATGTGCGCAGGGAGCTCTGGATCCTGCGAGGAGGACATTCCATTCCTTCAAAGGTTCTCGCCTGAAGGTCACAGCAGGGGGCTTGTCCTTGTCCTTTGAGCTTCATGTGGGGAACAGATGGGGAGGGCAGTGGGTGGTAGCCTACAAAGGGCATAAGAATTCATGAGGTTCTCAGAGGGACCAGATAAATTAATAAATTATTCAGGGCCCATCGCTGGGGTGGAGAAGGCCCAGGGCCTCTCCTCTCCTTATCAGGCAGCAAAAGGCACAGGAAATCCTGCTGTCCTTGGAGGCCTGGCCCGACACCCCTCCTGTCCCTCTCTCGGTCAGACACGTGCTTTCCTGTCTACACAGCATTCGGTCTCCTCCAGGGTTTTTCCAACAGTGACCCCTCGGTCAGCCTCCAGACCACCAGGGACCTGACAGGCAGATAGATCCCTCCTCAGTCAGGTCCTCGACACGGACTATGCAAGTGGGACGTACATGCGCCCAGGTGATTCTGAAGCAGCCACTCTCCCTCACAGCCAACACTCCCCCCTTCTCCAGGCTCCCCGGGCCTCTGTGGGGAGATTCTGAGCCAATTCCATTCCTCTTGCGAGGTCTTTACTGAGCACCAGGGCAACACCACACACAGATGCAGCATCTCGGGTGCGTTGCCTCCAGACCTCAGAAAACAGGCTCCAAGAGGTTCAGAAACTCACCTGGGTCACTCAGCAAATAAGGGCCACACCAGTATTATAACCCAGATCCCATGACCGCAGAGTCCACATGTCTTCTGCCCTAGGGTCCCTGCCCATGAGGAGCCTATACTTCAGTCACATCAGTGCAAAAACAAATCATTATAAATTGAGGAAGAATTCATTCATTCTTTCATTCATTGTTCCATTCAGCAGGCATTCCATCCATCCATTCACAACATATTTCCAGAGCACCTTCTGGGTTCTGAGCACTGGGTGCCTGGAAGGGGTGGAGAACTGTGGGAAACTTCAACAGCGATGAGCCCTAATACATGGCCCACAGCTCCCCACATGGGGAGGCTGAAGAATAGTGGGTGCATATTGTGTCTGCCACCTGCTAGTGAGGTGACATCAGGCAAGTTACTTAACCTTTCTGAGCCAGAGTTCCTTCCTCTGTAGAAGTGGGGGTTGAGTGACATGATGAAAAGCACACCTAACTGTACCTGGCACATAGTGGGAATACAGCCAATGGAAGGGG